TCGAGGAAATTGGAATACAAATTCAGGAGGTTATCTAATAGTTCTTTAACATTTATTTTCTTTATGATATTCCTTAGTCAGGTTTTTAAAACGTGTATTTTATCGCATAATATAAAATGAGTAATGCATTCTGTATTGAATTGAATAAAATCTGTGTAGGCTTAAAACCACTCAAGAATGGGCTTAAAAGGACGCAATTATAAAAAACAAAAACAAATACTTATTAAAAATTTGGAGCCTAACATCCAAGTAATAAATTCTTTTTAAAATATATTTAATGGATGAATAGAACTCATATTGCCCATATGATTTTGGTAGCATCATTTAGTATTTTATAAGTTTTTTTCACGTTTTTTACACTGCACACCTGGGTTGTTATTGTGACTTTAGTTGTTGTAGTCAAGTGCTGTCCTCCAACGCATTTGCGTTCGGTTGTTCTCTGCTATCGCCCAATGCTACTTCACACTCTGTTTGTTCAGTTTGTCTGAGTGTTATACTTTTTTTTTTAGGTTTTTTATATACCCTAAAATATTTCGATTTAATGGACTGTGTTATTCCGTCTGTTGCCATTAAACATTTTTTATTTTCATTTTAAGTTATTGAAGTCTTAATAAAATAGACACATTTATACCGAACAAATTTGCAGATCTTTAAGTTTACTTAGACAATAGATATGTTCAGTATATGTGACTTTATTTTAAAAACTTTTTTATTTGTCATAATTTTTATTATAATAATCTTTAGGATACAAAACAATAGTGTATTCCCCAAGTTTTTCTCATGAAAGCTCAGACACCGCTGTTGTTTTTCCCTATGCTCCCGCCTTTGTTTTATGATAAGAGGAAACGGCTGGCAGGCCGAAAGATAGCACATAGCCGCCCACTTAGCGCCCGTCGCACGTGTCGAAAGCACCCACCACCCACTATTCGCGCCACAGAAGCCAGGCAACCACCCAGACCACCCAACCACCCAACCACCCAACTACCCGGCAGCAACCCGAACCACCTAAAACAGAGGCCAGAGATAAAATGACAGCAGCAGCAGGGCCACAATCATCAGGATAATCACAACGCTCGAGTTGATAATGGCGACGTTGATGAGTCTAAACCTGAGTTGAATCTGTGTTCCGTCTACACGTTAATAAACAACAAGATGGTATTTCCTATACATGTACAATCCGTGAGACCATCTTAAGAAAAACATTCATCTTGCATTCATTTTTAAATCCATTTGAATATTTCCTTCTAATTTTATGGGTTTATTTCAAAAATATTTTTATATTTGTTTTTTAATTTTATTTGTATATTTATTTCTATATTATTATAATATTTTCTAAATTCATTTCAATGTTAGTTTACAAATTCATTTCAAAATTTGTTCAAATATTCCAATTCAATTGTAAATCATTTCTTAATTTAGTCAGATATTCATTTCAAAGTTAATTTTGTTTATTCATTTCTAAATTAATTTCAAAATTATATATGTATATGTTTATTTGTAGATTCATTTGTATATATATTTCCAAATTCATTTCCGAATTCATTTCTGAATTCATTTTAATTACCTGTATCTTTTTGCAAATATCACTTCATTGCTTGCAGTTTAAACAAGCACAACCTGCCCTCGCAGCTAACAACCGCGTCAGACTGATTCTTTCAGTGCTGCAATGCCAGTTGGCTGACTGACTGCTTCCTGCTGCATTTCCTTTCCGACTCTTCCGGCCTTTGGCTTTTCGATTGGGGCGTGAAATGTAATCACAAGGTGGACAAAGCCCAATCACTAGACCCCCTCACCTGGCCTGAAAAATGCGAGGACACACGAAAGGTGTCCGATTCATTCGACACAACTGGTAAACAACCCAATCCCCAAATCCCAATCAGAGTGCCACCCCTTTCCCTTTCCCTGTACCGTTTTTCATTTCATTTCCATTTCCATACCCCATATAGTACTCATTCGGTTTCTCGTTTCCCCTGCAATTTGCTTTCTCAATTCATTTTTCAAGTGTCCGTCTGTTTTTGCAATGGGCCTTTGTTTGCTTTCGGCCAGGCGGCGATGATAAGGCAAGACAATTGCGCCAACGACGACGATTTCAATTTGTTTGCACTTCCCATTTGTCGGTCAATATAAATATTAATATAAATATTAAGCGATTTGAGGGGCGACAAATAACAGATCAACGCGAAGCTCCAATTGCGTTTTCGTTCGGCACTTCTTAGGAAACTTTATTTGAAGCCCCATCGGGTAATGTTACAAGGAATTATAAAACACACTCTGGCGAGTTCTCGTGTTTTGGTCAGGGTTCCGAATTCTACAAACGATTTCAGGGTAGAACCTATAGCTTCTTGGAAGTTTTCAAAGCCTCAAAAGGTATAATACTTCTGTTGTTGTTGGTATAAAATATCAAATATATATTTACAAATCAGAGGCAGTCCCTATTCTTTCTTAGAAATATTTTTAGTGTCTTAGAGGTAGACAAAATGTATTTACACATCTAGTCCAAGTAACAACCCTAATTAATACCTTAATCCTTAAACCTTAATCAAAAACCTTATGTTTGCATAAAATACCTCAGCCCAGCGTAAGTACTTGCATAGATTTTACATGGTAATATCAATAAATCAGTTATTAAACTCAACTAATATCTTAGGCTCGGCTGTAACCACTTATATTTATAGTTATAGAATGCAATGTGGCTTGGCAACCGATAAAATGCTTTCAGATACAGCGCAAAAATCAACATGAGCGAAATATGTTAAACATTTTTGTGTAAAGCTTAGCGAGTTGTTCTTGTTGGCACCATTTCCGGTTCTGGTTCTTAAAAGAGGGTGGTACTGGGCGGCAACTCGTTTACTCTACCAAATTCGATTGCTTTCCGTCGCACTTGTTATTTTTCTTGGGTACCTTCTTTTTTTCCGCGGCAGTTCCACGTTCCCAAGTTTTTGTCATTTCATTAGAAACTCACTTGCTCTTCTGTTATCGCGAAAAGAACAAGAGCTCAAAGCCCGAAGACAGTGAATAATAACAAGCAACGACCTTGGCATTCTTTTTTTCGTTTTTGAATAAAAACAAATCTGGAGTAGGGCGAAATGAAAATAATAATAAATGCAAGATAACGTAGTACAGATGTGCTTGAAAAGATTTCTTCAAGACTTGCTAATGATATGAATGAGTGTTCCTTACAGATCTACATCTTTCCCTCAGCGTCTCTATTATTCTGATCTCATATCATATTAGTATTATGATTACGATTTTCTCCAGACTTGCTAATAAAAGGGAGTGTCCCGAGTACTTAACACGAGTATTCTGTAAAATCTATCCAAAGCTTTCCCTCAGTGTCTCTATTATTCTGATCTCATCTGTATAATATTAGTATTATGCTTGGGGTTATGTCATCTCCACATTTTCCCCGCCTTTCCCGCTTTCCCGCTTTCTCGTCATGCAACAACAAACACGACAACAATAACAAGTGGTTAATTCTAGTATTTAAATTGTATAACGTTGTAATTTTCACGCGACTTGCAACAAAGCCAAACAAAGCAACAAAAAGAACAACGACAAGCTGTTGACAAATGTTTGAGCTTAATTAACCGACGAACCAACAACAACAAATGAGTAATAGATTGCAAAAAAAAAGTAAGTAAGTAAATAGAAACAGAGCGTATGGCTCATGGGGTGTTGCAAAATAAAGAATGGCATTGAATAACATTATAAGAAAAATGCATGAAAAATGCATTCCAAATTTCGGATTTTATATTTTTATCCATTACCAAGGATCTCAACCATCTGCAACACTAGCTTGCAGTGTTTAATTTTAAATTTTAAGCACTACATATAGACCCCAACTAAAAATGCTAACTAGAATACCAGTTCCTCTCCGAATATTCCACAATTAAAACCTGATTTTCCCTATGTCCACTGTACTGGAAAAGTGAAGCCTATTCAGCTGTAACCACATCTCGACGACTCTCTTCCCTTGAACTCTGTTCTCTTCGCTCTGGCCCCCAAGATCCTATCTACATGGCTCCCCATCCGACATCCATTCTCTTTATTTTTTTGCTATTTGACTTTTTTGGGTGCAGTAATTGCAGTGCATTTAATTTCCCATCCCGAACGTGGCCGCCTTGAAACCACGACCAAAACAAAAACAAAAACAAAAGCAGTAAGCACACGAAAAAGAGTCAACCAAAAAATATTGTAATAAAAAAGAAGGTTAATCAAGCGGCTTGGTTCGGACTTGAGTTGAGTCTTGAGTTCGTTTGCCCCACGTTGGGTTAAGGCGGCTCGTGCTCGGACCGCTTCCACCAGGCTTATAGTTAAGGCAGAAGGTGAAGACAGCGGTTCCCAGGCCCGCAACCCCGTCCCTACACTGCAAGAAAATGATGGGCTTCAAGATGGTATCATACTAGCAAGCTACACCCTAAAAAAACAGAAAGTCAGGATTTAATACCGGTTTTATTAGAAGTATACCAAAAGCTTTAAATGTATAGATTCAATACTAAATAGTATAAAGTCTACACTTTACAGTTTCATTTCTATATTAAAGAGTTTAGACTTTGGAGTTGTGGCGAAATTTTTTAACAAATTTGTTTTAATTTAATACCTTGAAAAGTATTAATGTAATACTAATCTTATCGACGCCAAATCGAAGTTAACGTAATGTAGCGCTTTTCTGTGACTATTTTTTTAGGTGTAGTTTTAAAAAACATTTTCAAGGAAAGATTTTTTAATGGTGCTTAAAAGTATGCCTTAAGTAATTTGACATACATATTACGGATCTTCTTTACCCAAAATATACCGTTGCATACTTTTTAACGTACTATTTTAAAGATTTCAAACCGGTAGATAATTTTAAACAAAACGGATAAGAACGATAGTTTTAGGACCAAAACAATAGCTATATTTCAAATTTTTTCATTGGTTTATTCGCTTTATTACGATTTTTTGAAAGTAATAAACTCCCATTACATATAAGATACTTTTAGGGAATATTTATGGTTTACCTTGTAATTTCTCCGTGTGTAACTTCAAGGTTTTATGTAATTTCAGTTTGTTGCTGTTTTTATTTCTTTCCCCTCCGGTTTTCTTGTGTTACTTTTGCTTCTTGCGTGTTGACCAAGACAGAAAAAGAAAACAAAATACGAAAAACATTAACCCATGGAGTGGTAATAACAGTAACAGTAACCAAAGTCCGGCGAATAAAGTTGAATTTTCTTACAATTCGTGATTCGGTTCGAGTTCGAAATGCCCGTTATTATTAGCCAGTATAAAGAGGGGGAAAAACACGTAATGGATTTAACTATTGTTGCAATAATTGCCAATTGGGCAACGTTATTCTTTGCTCATTATACGTAATTATCTATTGACTTTTACCATTTGCAGCAGATGTGCGTGTGTTTCGTTTGTTTATCTGCTTATTTGCCTTTTGTCCCCAAGTTCAGGGCAATGTCAACGGAGCCAAAGGTAAAAACTCGGACGACGGTGTCCAATAATTTCACTGCGAAAATTGGAAAATTGCCGCGTATTTGAGCTGCGAAATTGCAACCTATTGGTTATTGAATGCAAATTACATGAGTTTCCCGGAAGGTTTCCAGTAATTTTTGGGTGGTCTTAAATTGCTTTATTCCCCCTTAAAATTATTGCCTCAATTATAGACAATTTTTATAATTTTTTGCCTAATCTGTGTATGTTCAAAATTTAATTATACAATTCGAATTTTTCAGAAGGCTTAGGTTATCCATATAATATTTACCTTGAAGATATAAAAGTAGGGCTTATCAGTTTCTTTTCTTTTCCAGTTTTATCAATGGAAAATATTTAAAAGAATAATCCCTAGTTTCTTGGGTATAAAGAAAACACTATGCTCAAGAAATCTAAAAATGTTGAATGGAAGACCTTTTCTTATATATTTTAGATATATCTCTAATGTAGCTTTTCTACGTTCCTGCGAATTCTCGCAGATTCGGAAGAATTCTCTGGCCATAGTGAGGAAAGAGACCCAATTAAAGAGAAAAGGGAGCCAGGAAACAGGCAACTTTCACTTTCGCCGCTTACGTACAACGGAAAATGGAGGAAGTGACAGTAGGGAGAACAGGAAGAGAGTGATGATGGAAGGGCACAAAAAGGAGGGAAAGATTTATGCAATTTTTTGTAGGAAATAGGCAAAAAGATACTTACCAAAAAACAGGATGATTATTTTTTTTATCGCTCGTTGATTTCCTCTTTGTCCTCCTTTTTGTACGTTTATGTTATCGTTTTAATTTTGCAAACTAGAGAAAAAAACACAAACAAAATTTTATAGCGCTGATAAGGCGATTTATTGTTTGTTTATTTTGGGACATTCCGCAATCCTTTTCCTATTTCTTCTTCTAGCTTCTCCCTCCCCTTTCCCCGTATTTCTTCTTCTTATCAATGAAACGTGAGTCAGTGGCAGGCAAAAAAGATTCACAGTTGCGGTCAAACTAATAGCACTTCAAAAGGCGTGAATGATTTTTTGTATAATTCAAATATGAACTTTTGGTTTGAATTAATATTATTGTATGGGTTAAAAAAAAACTTTCAAATGTGATTTCTACCATTATATGCTATTATGTCGGCCTCTTAAATGTTTTTTTTTAAATCTTTTTGGGTTCGTTTATTTTTTATTTTGCTTTATTTTTTTTTTGACGCTGACCTTATGTCCTAGTGGAAGGTGGAAGTATTCTAGAACACACAATAAAAAATCATTCTTTTCCTAGCATTCTGGAGCGCATTTACATAGAATGCACCTGTAAACGTTGCCCAGGAATGCGCCTAGAGGAGTTTCAGAAGAATCATTCGGAACAGATTTCCAATACTCAAATGATGTTACTTTTTTTTTGCCAAAATTAATTAGCAAATACAACAAAAGTATCGTTTTCTTCTCTGGAATATATTGGAACACAGGAAAAAGACAACAAAAAGAACGATTCTCCTTTGGAATGCCTTCCCGAACTTCCGACTGGGGCGCTCACACACACACACAGCTACACCTACACAGCTTCTTTTCTTTTTCATTTCTTTTCTGTTCCTTTCGTAATTGCTCTGCATTTCTGCTTCTTCTTTATGCTTGCAACGTGAACGTCCAAGAAAGAGAGAGCGAAAAAAACAACGCGACAATTTTAAAGTGTAAACTGTGCAAAACAAAAAACCCAATGTTGCACGTTGCATTTTGAATTTCTTTTTGTTGTTGTCGCCGCTTCTGCTTCTTCTTCACTCGACTGTTGCTCTCTGTTGTTGTTGTCGTTGTTGCTTTTGGCGTCATCGGCGGCGGCAAACAAATAAACCCAATTATTTTAACTGGCAAAAAACAAAATGTTTGCGATATTCATATTGTTTCGCTGTTCCTCGCTTCCTGTATTCTATTTTTTTGGTTTTCGGTTCGCCTGTTCCTTTATCTCTTGATTTTCACTTTTTTATTACACTTTTGCCTTTCCTTTTCACAAGAAAAAAATTCACGCCACACGGTTGTTGTCACTTACGTTGCGGTAATTATTCATAATTTAATTTATAACTAAGAGACCGCGCGCGCACCCACCGCTTTGCATTTTCGGGCAAATTACAATTAATTAATTGTGCTTTACTCTGTTTTCTTGTTTCTGCGCTCCGCTTTCCACTCGATTTCCTCGATTTCGAACAACATACACAACCACAACCGTTCAATTTTTTTTTCGACTGCGCTGCTCTCAGCACAACGTAGGCAAACGTAGGCGAACGTAAGCAAACGTAGGCAAACGTAAGTGTCAGTAAGAAAGCGAGATGTAAGATTACCCGAGAGCGGAGTGACCGCGCTGTGCTTAGCACGACGTAAGCAAACGTAAGCAAAAAATACTGAAAAAACGATTGCGTGGGATTTCGTATTCGCTGGAAATGCAATGCTCTCACCCTTCCATCTCACTTTTAGCTGGATTACTAGTTTAAAAACATTACACACAACAAAATGCTTAAATTAATATAATTATGGGCTTTGCGAAGTACTGAATGAGAAACGTTAGCGAAGAAAATACTATACGGATGAAAAATAAATACCATTCATCTAAGTAATATACTGTCTTCTTTTGGTATCTTTGTATCTTGCTGAAAATACTAGAAAACACTATATTTAAGAAATAAAAGTTTTGTAAAATAAATTCAAACATATTTTAAAAATTTAAAAATTATATCCATACAGGGTATGGTGAAACTCGTTTTTCCCAGCCGATTAAGAAATACTGCGCTAATATACATATCACCCACTGAAAACAAGCCGTTTAGCATCAGCACCTTTGTCTTTTCAAATAGGGTCTAAATGGTCTCTTAATTTGTATTTTATTTAATATGTTGCTCATTTCTTACATATTGTCTTATTCTATTAAAATAACCCATTTCCAAAATATTTCATAAAAATTCTGTTCACCGAAGCTTCCCCCAAAAAACACCATAAAGTAGGTTGGCATAAAAATAAGTAAAAAGCCTAAAGTCTAACAGAATTTTAACGAAATCCCCTTGTACTTGATAACTAAATGCTCATAATAAAGAAAATGCTCAAAATGCTCGAGTATTAGCAAAGAATAAAATTCGACTGTTGGAATTTTGAACTTTCGCGCCACTCAATCTACAGCTATGTGGCTGCTCATCTCCAATAGTGCTGGCCATCGCCATTTGCACAGCACTAACGTCAAGAAAGAAACGTCAAACACGAAAGGTAAAACGAAAAAAAACGAAGAATGTAAAGCGAAGCGTAGGGGCAGCAACAAGCAGAGAAAACGAACACCATATTTATTGTCCGCGAAGTATTTGTTTAGTTATTTAGCTGGTACTCGTTCATATTTGTGCTAAAACGCGTGAGAATTCGCGGGGGAGGAGAGTAAATACCAAGTAACGGTGTTGGTGGACAGCTGGCCGCGAGTGTAAACAGAAAGTGTTGCCTCTCGCTCGCACGCTCCGTCGCAAGAAATATTCTTATCAGGCGGATTCCCCAACCTTGGGTTTATAGAGCACACATATAGGTTAATAGCCCCCGCTCATCGGTCATCCACACACACGATCCATACGTAACACGCCGAGATGGCAGCGACGCCAGCGCCAGCAGCGCCGCCGGCAGCGACTGCGAAAAGTCCTGCGAACCCGCTGTCCGCCGAGGAGACAACCCTTCTCCGGGGACTCGACAAACTGCGCAACGAGAACAAACTCACCGATGTCACCCTGATCGTCGAGGAGCACCGCTTCAAGGTAAGAGCCCTCGTCTGGCAACACATGTATTTAGGCCAACTTAAGATCTCCTCCATCCCCATACCAAGTTTCATAAGCGTATCTACAAAAGCAAGCCAGTTACAATGGGCCAAAAGTATCTGGGACCACAAGTATGGACTTCGAAGACCCTATACCAAGTTTCATAAGCATATCTTTGAAAACACCAGAGTTACGGTGGGATACTAGTTATATTAACCTATCTAGGGGAAAAAAAAATTTGGAACCACTAAACATGGTCTACAAACATCCCATACCAATATTCATAAGCATATCTTCATAACCAACCAAGTTATGTTAATCAATTCATACAATGTTTCATTAAGTTATTCATCAAAAACCATTTAGTTGGGCTAGGTTAGTTACTTTTAAAGACTGCCTTTGCATAGGACAAATAGAAATCGTCTTAAGCCGGATGGATCGAGTCCTAGACTCGGAAGTTTGGCAATATGACAGGTTCGTGTTAATTATATACGCAAGTTAAAGCGTAAGGTGACTAGTTATAGGGTTAAAATGGAAGGCGAATCGATAATAGTAGATAGCGAAAAGCTCATCTTTACTTTCTCTTGCCAAATAATACGAAAACGAAAACAAATCGAAGACAAAAACTAATGTGTTTCTGGCGATGACGCGTTTTATATGCCGTTGCTATATATAGTTAGGGATTCCCGGAATTGGTTATGTATCGAGTGGGCCAAAATATTGAAATGAAACGTTTCTTTATTGAATTAGTCATGATTATAAGTTTCAAAAAACCCAGGAAACTTTATCTGGATCTGTAGAGTTTTCCAAAACCCGACTGCATTTCCTATTAATTTATCCAAACTTTGTGATCATCTTCATTATATTTACCAATAACCAATATTTTATTAAAATATTGTTTCGTAAGACCTCAAATTATATACATAGGTTACATTACTTATCCACACTTTATAAAACGATCTAGTAAAAATACCCGCTTTTGCAGGCTCACCGCGTCGTTCTGGCGGCCAGCAGCGATTACTTTTGCGCCATGTTCGCCGACTGTGCCATGATCGAGTCACGCAAGGACGAGATAAACCTGTACGGGATCACGGCCAGGGCAATGGGCGCGATCCTCGACTTCATATACACCTCGACGTTGGAACTGAACTACGATAACATCGAGGAGATCCTGGCGGCAGCCACCCACGTCCAGGTGCGCGAGGTGATCGAGCGCTGCACCATCTTCCTGGGCACCAAAATCGAGATGGAGAACTGCCTGGCCATCGCGGGCATGGCCGACATCTACGGCATCATGGACTTGTCCGAGCGGGCCCACCGCTACATCTGCGCTCACTTCGAGGAGTTTGCGACCACCGCGGACTTCAGGGAAATGAAGGTGGAGCAGCTGAGCTTCATCCTGGGCAGCAACTATCCCATCGATGTGGCCGAACAGGACCTGGTGCGTCTGGTGTGCAGCTATGCGTTGGAGCAGCAGCAGGAGGAGAGCGAACTGCGGGATCTGCTGCGACTGATCAAGTGGCTGCACATCAACATCGCGGCTCTGGAGGAACTGAAGCACATGAACTGCTCGCTGGACGAGGGAAAGCAACTGCAACTGCCTACCACCTACTACAATCGCATTGAGCAGGAGTATTTGGCTGCGCTGCTCAACGGAGGGGTCCCCTCCCTGGAGGATCAATCACCGTCGCAGGGACCGAAAAATATGCGCGGCATGGAGCTGTGCCTGCTCAAGATCGGAGGCTTCGAGTGGAAGGGACTAACCAATGTGATAATGTGCTTCTCGCCGACCAAGATGAGTTGGTACGAGTTGACCGCCATACCGCACATCGATCAGTGTAAGATTTATAGGGCTTTTTCGGTGTATGGGATTATAATTGGCACTAACACTAATATTAAGGGACCACAAAGTATCAGTATAAGTGTTGGGTTTACGATTATGGTCATCATTATCATGTCATTATTAACAATGTGATTGGCTAAGTACTTCAACAGCATCCTCTTACGCAGCCTCTTTATGGTACTATTCTAGGCAACTTTGGCACTGCCGTCCTCAACAACAAACTCTTCATCGTGGGCGGGGCCTACGATGTCTGCCTGAAGGAGTACATCCATCCCTTTGGCTTCTGCTACTGCCCGCTGCGGAACACCTGGATGACCATAGCGCCCATTCAGCTGGATCGCTGCCGCTTCTCGTTGAATGCGGTGGGCAACCGGCACCTGTATGCGGTGGGCGGCATCCTGGACGACGATAATTCCGAGGAGGCGCTGCGCACCATCTCCAATGTGGAGCGCTACGACACGGAGCAGAATGTGTGGACCTATATGCCCAGTCTGCAGGAGAATCGCAGTCAGCATGCCGGCGTCGTTGTGGGCGACAAGCTGTACATCTCCGGTGGCATCCAATTGGCCAACATCCTGGCGAGCATGTGGGTGTTCGACACGAAGGCGGAGCTCTGGCAGGAGCTGGCACCGATGCCCACGCCCTGCTGTGACCACGTCCTGGTGGCCGTCGATAATCGCATCTATGCCTGCGGTGGCTGGCACGAGAGTCTGACGGAGTCGCGGGTGCTGGTGCAGCACATCTATGCCTACGACATCGAGACGAATGCGTGGAGTGTGGAGACACAGATACCGGCCCCGAAGTTCTACTCCGGCGTGACGGCGATGGGCAGAACCATCTTCTTCGTGGGCGGACTGGACTCCACGGAGTCGATTGACCGGGCCAGTGCCGAGACCATGGCCTACGACCTGGATACCAAGGAGTGGTGGCGCGAGAAGGACTCGTGGGACTCGCCCAACGACGTCTGGGAGTCGACGTGCGCGGCCATCTACGTGCCCATGTGCGACTTCTAACTGCCAAGAAGCTACTAAAGTCCATCCATATCTTCTCCCCATCGAATTTAGCGATTCTCATTACATTTTTATAGATATATGTATACGTAGTATGTATAGCTAGTGTAGACCTACATGCGAGATTTGTGATGACTGTACACAGTGACGAGATGTGCCAAGCACGGCAACGAGAACGTTTAGACCTAAATGCCTTAATTTCGCCTTCGAAATACGAAATAGGTAATGTTAAATTATTGAAATAATATGTAATTAGTATGTATAGACCGCAGCTGCCTTCTCTACACTGTTGAATGATAACAAATAGGTAGTGTAAGGACCCATTGTACTTAATCTGTATAGACTACAATAAGGACTGTCCTTCCTCGCTTTTTTTCTCAACATTTTACTCGATGTATTACACTTCACTTTAATGAGCATCTTCATAGCTTATAATTTCTACAACAAAGGATACTGCCGAAAATATATTTTTTATTTGACAAAAGGACCTTCTAGGCGGCAAACTGTGTAAAAAGAATGAAGGCCATTGACAATAAACGAAAATAAACTATAAATGATGCGAATTAAAAATGTTTTTTGGGGGAATGTATTTGTTAAATGGAAATGTATTAAACAAATTCCAGGCCCTGGTATCTTAATTTTTTTTTTTAATTTTTATGTTTTCCATTTCCCATTCATCCAGAACACTAAACAGAAGTCGGTGAGTTTTTCGTTGCTTTCGATGGTTTTTATATTTTTTTGGTCTACTCCTTGTCAGCTTCCTCGGACAGATAAATGTATACGCTATATGCTAAGTATGTGTGTATATAAGCTTTACAGTACATTTAAAACCTAAATTAAGTGTCAGAGAATGCTTATGTGTGAAAAAAGTCGTTTGCTAAATTAAAAGAAACACAGACTAAAAACGCTTAGAGTTAAATTAAAAAAAAACGCTTAGAACGAACAAACGCGTCCGAAATAGAAATAAACACAGTGTTATGGCTAACGATACAGATAAAGATTACCGGTTACGGATTACGGATTACAGATTACGGTTTACGGTTTACAGATTAAAGGTTACAGCACTAGCCTAAAAAACATAGAGGCTACACGGCGGATGGGGAGACTACGCGTTGGGATGCGGCTGGATGACCACCCAACCTTCCTCCACGGACTCTGAGCCTCCTCCGGTCAGCGATCCCGGCAGCAGTCCGACCTCCTCCTGCTGGCCATGCAGATGCGGATGTGGATGGGGATGGGACGCCGGATGTGGCGGATGAGGATGATGGCCGGCAGAAAGTTGGCGGGAAGCGGGCAGCCTCTCGTACTGCTGCTGCAGATTGTTGTACAGACTCTGCAGGCCCTCCTGAAAATATATAGATAATCGGATTATATTTCATAATAAACAATAATATTGTTAGAAGTACAGTTCCTCTTTGAATTCATCAAGATTAAGCTGTTTTAAATACTTTAATTTTATAAAAGAACTTTTAAACCCATCAAATATGACTACAAATCGTATTATAGGACATCTTCCTCACCTTGTCCTTGATCTTACGCAGCAGCTCCTGCTTCTGCTCGCGCTCGGTGCGATCCATCTGGACGATGAGCTTGTCCTTGAAGTCCTGCGCGTAGTAGAGGTTCGTGTCGACGCTGAGGTACTCCTTGGCCATGTGCCTGTGCTCCCGGTAGATGAGCTGCGACTCGGCGTCGTTGGGGATGGGGGGCTCGGGCTGGAGTTCCGGGTCGAGGATTTCGGCCAGCGATTGCTCGGTGCCGTCGTTCTCATCCTCGTCGGGATCCACGTCGACGTCCAGCGAGTTGGCGATCTCCTGATCCTGCTCCTGCAGCTCCTCCTCTGTCATTTGCCGCCCATTCACATGGCTCAGCAGGCCGTTCGAGTGGGCGTGGCTGTTGTTGTTGGTCAGATCCGTGGTCATGATCACCGGCTTGGTGTCCGTCACCGTGAGTCGCTCGCGGCCATCGCTCTTGGCTGCAATAATTCAATTCAATTTACATTAATCAACCAATTAATAAATAAATGCATTACTGAATTTTATTTAAAAGAAATAGAAATATGCATTTCGAAAGCCTAATGAGATAAATACATAGAGGAACAGTCAATTACACAAAAATATTTAAATTTATTGTGATCGATATTCAAAGGTCCGCCCAAAAGTACCCGGGTACAAGCAGTTTAAAATATTTTAAACTTTTTTTAACACAATTATTTCTAGAGGTAAATTAGAATTGCTTATATTTTGAAGTAAGTTTCCTTAAAAAAGTAATATGTTTCCTAGTATTCTCAAAACAATAATATAAATGAACAAATTGGGAGTGACTTTTAACTTAGATCAACATTTAAACTTATCAAACTTAAGTTTCATTTATAGTACCCACTTTCAGATTTAGAAATGTATTTATTTTGATTTCAACAATTTTTTTAAAGTAATAAAACAGATAAATAGATTTAAGCTGGTATTTATTTCATTGGGTTTGAACAAACAGTTCCATGTTCTTTAAGAAATTTGTATCGTTTTTGAACTACCCAACCAAGCGAAATTAAAGGGAATGTCTTTAAAATACTATTAGTAATGAGTTCTGCCAGATAATAGAATCCCAAATGGTATCAAGGACCACCTACTATATATGATCCAACAACTGTGCAGGTCGCTGGTCTGTTTGGTGTTGATCAGAGCGCGCGTGTCGCACATCTTGAGATGCCACTTATAAAGTCCAGGATTGGGATAGGTTCTTTTGGATGCCAGGCTTTGTACTATAACACTGGCTATATCATTTTCGGATCGGAAAATGATGTGTACACTAATAGGCGGATGAAAATCCTTCACATTGTTCGTACCCCCACTCGGGCACTTTTCTTTTTTCCGCCTCTGTTTTTCTTGCGATGACGTGTTTTCCGCACATACGATTCAAATTCAGTTCTGCTTGTTGATTTTCCACCGAACACTTTTGTTTTTCTTTCTTTTTTAATGTTTTGGTAAAAACAAACCACAAACAAATGGGTGAAAATTTCACTCGAAAATGGGTGGGTTCGATGATGCTCTTTCAAGGGGTATTTCCTGGCCAACGCCGGGAGGTTCGTTTCGGCAGAGTTCCCGACAATTCCGACAATTCCGGAACATCTCGCGTAGCACTCAAGATCGCACGGCTCTCGGACGCAGACTGAGGCCAAAGCCGAGACGTCCACGTCCACGTCCACCGTAAAGCAAACAAACGCGCCAATTCTCGCGCCGGGGATTGCCTTCTAAACGCTCCGCAGACGTGGCAAGATCGTTCGCATATATGTAGTTATATGAGGGTATCGGAGATCGGGGATCGGGGATCGGCGATCGGCGGTCGGGGGCCACGATGACGCGGCCAGAGCGAAAATCTGTGGCATCATTCCCAGCACGGTGGTGGGGTGGAAAACGCCCCAAGATGTGTGGGTTAAGTGGTTTCTTTGTCTGGGACACGCAGTGAAACCAGAGGTTAAAGGCTATCAGTGAGTCAGCCAGGGAATTAACTTAAAAAATACTAGGTGCACCATTGTAAACAACAATATTTTTGAAACATTCTCAGTAATTTCTAAATAAAGATTACCACAAAATACAACGAAATGTCGCCAGTTGATATGGTGAAATATTACAACAATGTAAATGCCTGAAAATAATTTGTTTTATTCCAATCTGATTACTAGACAGTAATCTTAGTTTATCCTTCTCAGTCATTAGCGAAAAATCCTATATCGACTAAGACCTAGAACTATTATAGGCCACAATATTTCTATTCCATTGTGTAAAATGCCATTATTTAGAGGAGACATTTCGCAGAATACATTTATGGTCGAAGATTTACTGACAGCGTTTCCAGGAAAAATCTATAAAAAATATTAAACAATTTCCCAAAGCACAGATCGTAAATTAGCTGGCGAGTCACCCTGTAGTGGGTCATAGAAAAAGATAACCCTTTCGATCGAGATCCCCCGATAAATAGACAACCACCCACCAAATTCCATGACGAACCAAAACCCAATGAAGATTCATTCAAATTCGATGCGGTGAATGCGGCGAGCATTGATCGAAATCGATGATTAATGCAGTTGGCATCTGCAATTGGGAAATCTCAGGGGAACAAGGCGTCGTGGGAAAGTGAAATAATTTTCCCACACGCAAAGAAAAAATTGTGTATTTAAGATACGTTTTTTTTTCATTTTTGTTCACAAGTACGGAAAAGTCCAGTGTTGTAAAGTTATAAAAAATGCAGTATTGCTTCAGATTAAAAGTAATAAGGATTTATAGATTGTTAATATTAATAAACATTGGAATAATTTTTTTACGAGCAAAGTAAAAAACAGTTTTACAGTTTTTTTTATTAATACCGAAAAACTTAGTGTTGTAAAGCTATACAAAATTCAGTCTTGCTTTAGAATTTCTAGATCTTAAGTCTTTAGACCTTTTTTCGCTGTGCAAAAAAATCTGACGCAGCCAGTGAACTCCGAGAGCTTTGAGAGCCAAAAAGTATCTCGACTTGGCCGTTGATGCATTTACTAGTTACACATTGCTGGCGCACTACATGGTTTCCATATACTATATACCAGACTATACTATATGTTCGGGGGATGGGGATGGGGATGGGGATAGGGATAGGGATATATGGCATATGGATATGTAAGTCGGAGATCTCCGCCCGTCTGTGTCAACCGAGAGGCAAGTGAGATTTGCCCACTCGATTCGATGGCGGCTCCCACCGATTATACAAATCGGCAACATCGCACATATATCCGCTATATGCGCCGATCTATATATAAGCTGTGCGGTGTGTGAGTGTGCGCCATATAGACGAAATCGAAATAAAAGTGAGATTATTGCCGGGTGAGTCATGTTTCGCTGGGGCTGATGCTCAAAAGTCCGTGGCGATCGCATCGTCATGTGTGCGTTCCTATACTTCCATATTCCTATATCTGCCCCGATCTCAACCCCCCGCCCCCCTTTCGGAGGGGTGTTGTTGTTTATGCTCGCCGGCCAGCAGCGACGGAGCATGCCTTCGGCTATAAATCTGTCCCAAAATTGCCAGGCTAACAAATTACAAATTATTTAATTGTGCAGCGAGATTTTGTGCAACTATTTGGGACCGATACCCTGGTTGCGTTGGAGAGTATATAGGTTTCTAATAAAGTCGTTCTACATTGATCTATTACATGCATATTTTACGTGAGTATTACATTAATTCGATGGTTCGACCAATTCTTTGGAATGTTTATATCTTTAATTTACAAAGCTTAAGCATATTTAAATTAATTAAATTACATATTAAACTTACGAAAAAATATTAAAAAAAGGCGAACATGATAAAGATAATAAGATTCAAAACTGTTGTACCTATTCTTACGGGATTGAAATTGCATAAATAACTGGAAAGTTTAATTAGTATTATTTATTTTTTGAAATATTACTTTTTCAAATTTATCCCTAAGCAATATTTATACATTATCAGGAAGTTATTATAACATCAATAACTTCTAAATCCTATAAAATGAACTTAATATTTTCGTTAAGTTATTTTAAGATGTTTATAACACTTTAGA